TTCTCTTCCGGAGAGAGCTGAATGGCTTGAGAAATGTGTGGGTGATTTTTTAAAGCTCTCACTATTTGAATCTTTCTCAGAGGTAGACTGATAAATTATTATAATTATTAAGTTCTTATTCTCCCTCCCTTATTTATTTTGATTCTATTATTTCTTTTGGTTCTTTTCTTCATTACTCTATTAATTCCTTCTTTCCATTGTAGTCTGAGAATCATTATGCTATACTGTCCTTCCTTCTCTGTCTCTCTCAATCCCCAACAAGTCATACTTCATTCACTATTTCTCAGCCTGATCCTCTTCCTCTTCCTCCGGCTCGAGATGGTCGTCCTTTTGATTGGGGACACTACCTAATGGAGGGCGTGTCTTTTGAAGAATATGAATCATCTAGTGATGACAGTGAAGTTAGTATAAGGGAGATAGAGAGAAAAGAGAGTGAATGAATAAAGTACTAAAGTATATATCACAGGGTTTCCCACAAAGCATGCTAAGTGAGCTAAACAGCATGAGCTTCATGAGCTTACAAGCACTACAATACAGTACATGGCAGTTGGAGCAACTTTAAAAAATCATAAAAATTCTGAATTTGTTTGGAATAAGCTCAAACTTGCTACACAACATAAGAACATGTATTTGTATTAGAAAAATTATAAAAATGGAGATTTCTCTTCTAGTCATTTTTGGCAAAATTTAGCCTAATACCAGAACATGGTACTTTATTTCTATATTTTATCTGCTGTAGTTCATTCCTTGCAGTGATGAGGATCTCCCATTATCATCACACGAACTCTCACACGACTGCAAGTCACATGATCAGTCACATGACTCGGCTATTGAGACATCAGATGCAGAACAAGTTAGTCGTTAAATACATGTACATGTACTCTATGCTTTGGTAGGAATTGCCAGTGAGATTATCAGTATGTCGTCCATACTGGAAACCAGTGACACTATATCCATCATTAGTTAACAGGTATAGTAATAACTAATATTATTTTAAAATGTGATAAAAATAAAGAACATAATGAATCCTTTTTGTGCATTTACAAAATGTCTTATTTTAGACCATCTTTGTCGATACAACTTACAGAGATACAAGCTGTGAGAGAGTCACTCTGGTATGTAATTAATATTAATTTACATTATTATTATTATTTATTATTATTATTTATTATTATTATTTATTGTTGTTGTTATTGTTAGGGTATTATTAGGAGTGAGAAGAAGTTGTGTTTATTTTATTAATGAAGGAGGTGTGGTTACAGTGAGGAATGGAATTACATTATCCCACCTTTCATTAGTAAGACACCACATAATAATCATTGTAAAAGTAATTTATATCTTGTTCTTAGAAATCACTCGCTAGGATTTTAGAAACTTTTGCTGAGTTGGCAACGAAGCTGAATCGCTTCAGACGAGTCGTCATGGTAACGCAGTCACCCAGGGGTGAACGAGTTTGTCAGACTCAGGAAGCATTTGCTGACAGTCTCAACTGCTACTTACTGGTATGACCGGTTTAATAACAGGCTCAACTGGTTTGTGTGTGTACATTACATGTAGAGTGTGGATGAGACACTGCAGAAAATAGAGAAGAAGGTTTCTGAAAAAAGTAAATAAGTACCTATTTATTATAAAATGTACTTTAGTTCAAGTGTTTATTCTGCCCATTGTGTGTATGTACATGTACATGTACATTTTTCATTTTTAGGAGAGTTCGTATCATTATTAAACTTATCTAATAAGCTCAACTCACTTAATCTACAGGTACATACTGTACATGAACATTGCAGTATACATGTACATATTACATGTACATTAATTACATATTATTATTTTATTCCTGTACTGTACATCTATAGGTGTCAGCATTAACTAGTGTTGATCTTTGCAGCTGCTCAACTCCTAAAGTTAGCATTTGGTCCACACAATGTACATGTGTACATGTATGTACATGTACATACATGTACATGTACATGCATGTACATGTACATGTACATTACATACTGTACATGTAGTCTAATTTTTTAATATTTTCTCTCTTTCTTCTAGTCATTACTTGACAGTTTATGGTTATTATTAAGTACGTATGATCCCATTGGTCCTGTAGGATGTGACGTGGTAAGTGGGTAAAGTCACATGACCTGAGTCTCTTTTTCTAATAATCAGATTTCAGTTGCTCTTCCATTATACCTAATGAGCGTCTGCCCATACATCAGTACATTGGACCAATGGATGGTCAGTGGTACACTTCATGATCCAATGAAAGAACTATTCATCCAAAGGTTAGTGAATACATGTATGTACATGTATGTAACAATTGAGAATTCACATGTAATTTAACACTGTTTTAATCATTTGCTCATAATAAGTAATCATCATGTATTATACATGAATGTCTTTAGGTTTTCAGCTCTTTGTGTATACATGTACATGTACTTTGACTGTTTTTGTGTCTTTATAGTAATGCAGAGTCTGTTCCGGGAGGATATAATTATTGGAGAGACTGCTACCATTCAACTGAGCCTCCAGTCTGCTTTAAAGGAATATCAAGACAAGTAAATTTATATAATTAGTAGATCTATGGATCTTCACTGTTCGTTGGTCTGATGTACTTCTTTCTTTCCTACTCTCTCTCTCTTCATTCTTACAGTTACTCATTGCTGGTAAATCCTGTCATTTGAGTATGTCACTAGGGAGTCAATCAGTTATTGAGGTACATGTACATGCACTTTTAGTACATGTACAGTACATGTACATCTACATATGTATGTACATGTACATATGTACATGTACATGTAAGTGTCTTGTTGCATCTTTTACTAGATGAAGAAGTCTCGTGATAATCTTTATCTTGAGTTTCTTTCTCATTTTACATCTTCACCTCCCGAGCAACGTCTTATTGAGCCACACCTCCCTGAACCACCGTCACCAGAACCCCACCCACTTGAACCACTGTCATTTGAGCCACCATCATTAGAGCCCCGCCCACTTGAATTACATTCACAATCACTGGAGTCATCGCACCTAGATGTACATGTACATGTACCGGATCACATTCCTTATAAGGAAGATGGGCTGCTTGTTCTTTCAAATGTTGATCCTTTGCTGCGTGAAGCTCTTATCTTGTTGCCATGGAAGCAGTCAAAAACAACTAACGAGTAAGTGCACATGTACATGTACATGTATTTTTCATTATATCTAATTACATGTATTCTTAATTAGATCTTACGAGTTGTATATGAGGCTACAAGGGTTAGTCCCTGTCATTAATGCTTTGAATAGACCAATGACTGAATTTATTGAGGACATCATCAACAATACATTTAAGAGCAGATTTTATGAGGTGAGTATTTGTACATGTAGTTCTTTTGTAATCTGTTCCCTTCTCTTCTTTTATCTCTCTCTCCCCCTCTCTCTCTCTATCTCTCTCTCTCCCTCTCTCTCTCCCTCCCTCTCTCTCCCCCCTCTCTCTCACTCACTCTCTCTCTCCCCCCTCTCTCTCTCTCCAGTCTTCGAAGTTGTTAATGGAGATATTAAAAGATGATTATCAGCTTTTGGCTCATTTCTCAAATGTCAAGTGTGTCCTTTTAATGTCAGCTGGTGATTGTATACACCATTTCACTAACAATCTATTCAGTAAAGTTAGTTATAGTCCTTAAGATGTTTCTTCTCCTTGTTTTTATTTTCTTTTCTTCTTGTCCTCCTTTACTTGTTCTTAAGTGTATTTTTCTTACTTTGTTCTGCATGTAGTTGCAAGCTTGTCACCAAATATCAGATCCGATATTTCTAAATAATGCCCTCAGTGAATCTCTTCAGACTCGTCAGTTGAATGAAAGGTTAATGTTCTTATTGAGTTATAGTTTTTAGACTGACAATAATTTTAAGTTACGAGCATCAAAAATGTATGTTTGCCGGAACACTTAGCTATTACATTTTCTGATGCATATTATGGCCATTTTAAAAAATTAGCCAAAATCTGAAAATTACCCTGTACTATTATTATTATTATTATTATTATTATTATTATTATTATTATTATTATTATTATTATTAATGAACTTTACAATACATACTAGTATACTATAGCCCATGCTTTTTTCCAAAAAATGGCTAAAAATTACCCCCAATTTTTATTACATTTTCTAATACATATTGATGTCCTTATGCTATGTAGCAAGTTTGAGCTGATTCCGATTTGAATTGTTTAAGTTATGACCATTTTAAAATTATGCTGATTTCTGAAATATGACTCTAAAATCTCCCTCAATTTTTATTTCATTTTTTAATACAACATATCAGAGTCCTTTTTTTATAATTAGGTTCACGGTTGATCTCTCTACTCCACTCTCAGTCACTATGGAGTCACTGAACAGCATCAATATCACTTATGATGTTAGTCATGTGCCTATCATGTGATCCTTACATGTACATCAATATCACTTATGATGTTAGTCATGTGCCTATCATGTGATCCTTACATGTATATTTAATACCATATGGCACCTTTTTTAAAAGGCTATAGATTTTGCAGATTTTTATTTTGCGGATTTAATTTTTCACAAATTTATGCCGTCTGCCATCTTGTACCGTATTAATTTGATTTTTGCGGAAGTAGTTTTTGCGAATCTTTAAAAAATTGTGAAATCCATGAAATTTACATCTGATGATTGTAGGTTCCATGGCCTGTCAATTTGGTGTTTCCTCAAGGCGTCATGAGTACTTATAACGGAGTCTTTAGGTTCCTCCTTCAAATGAAGTATGCAAGATGGTGCCTTGATAGTGTTTGGATTAACATTAGTGAGTTAAAGAAGAGAGAGAGGGAGAGAGAGGCAAGGATATGACTTTTATTTTGAAATTAAAAAGAATGGATAACTGCATTGTACAATGTACTACTATTACTATCCAGGATTTCCCACAAAGCATGCTAAGTGAGCTAAACAGCATGAGCTTCATTCATGAGCTGACAAGTACTACAATACAGTACATAACTTACTTTAAAAATTTGTAAACATCCAATTTTAATCGGAATTAGCTCAAACTTGCTACACAATAGAGGAGGGATTATTGGAAAGAGTATGGTAGAAATGTACATGTTTCATATCAATTGTATATTTTTATTTTTTTTTCTATAGAATCTTCCTGTCATTCAATGAGCCCACTGATGCACAAGATATCACTGTTAAGAGCTAAATTATTACATTTCATGACATCAATCAATCATTATCTACTCACAAGAGTTAGTCTTTATTATTTTAGTACATGTATATATTTTGATCTCTCTCTCTCTCTGATTTTTTTATTTTCCTCTCTCTCTCTTCTCTCCTACACTGTATTACCTGCAGATATTACATAGCTCTGGTTTAGAGTTTGAAGAGAAGGTGCTAAACTGTACTGATATGGACAGTCTAATATCACTACACCACTCTTACATCAGCACCATTCATGATAGATGCTTACTAAATCAAAAAGTGAAATTTTTATTATGTACATGTACATGTATATTTAATACATGTACATACTGTATACTATTATGTTCTATTATTTTTCTATCTATTTTTAACTCAGACACTCATACATGTAACATGTATTATGTATACTGTATATGTATTTTTTTGTAAATAGTTTAGTATTAGTTTTATTATATTTAATACATGTACATTTGTAAATTGCTATTTTGATACGTACAGGCTCAGATAGTGAAGGAAGCAATTTTGAAGATATTCTCGTTAACATTAAAGTTTTATAATCTCACTTATACACTCAGTAAATTTAGGTAATGGTCATGATGGTTCAATCTATTGAGTGGGTGTGGTTATTATGGTGAATGTGGGTGTGGTTATTTGTTTATTAATCATGTTGTAGGTACGAGGATGGTCAGAGTATTGAGGAGGAGTTTTCAAAATGTTGTCGTTTCTTAGTTTCTTGTCTGATGAGTCACATCAAGAGAGGATCATTCCCTCACTGTAAGTGAGAGTAATAATGCACAACCAATTGTTATCGCCTTAGATCAGGACTGGTATCATACTGATATCAGTCTGAATCATACTGATATCAGTCCTGAATCATGGTTTTCGTGTAATCAGTCATGATACAACTGCAAAAATCAGCCATGATACAATCATGATAAAATTTGTACTGATCCATGCCAGAATATCAGGCATGATCTATAAAATAATGTGTCAGGGCTGTACCAGTATAGGATATCAGACATGGTTCATTATTTTGGGCCAAAAGTGCTGATTCAGGCATGATAACTTTTGGTTGTGTACATGTAGTAATTGAGATAATTAATGCATACTAAATGACATGCAAAAACTATGTGCCTTATTTTATGATGCATGCATTTTTTTTATTTCTGTGTTTATTCAAAATATTATCTACTCTTGGTCACAATTTATGAATGAATGATCCAGCACAAGTAATGCTGTGTGCATGTACACATGTATAAATAGATTCGAAATTGTTTTATTATTTAGACACTTTCTTTTTGCTATTTTTAGTGGAGACACTCTCGTTCTCTCTGACTCCTCTTCTCTCGCTCAACAGGATATTCACCAACTGATACACACCACATTTTATAACACAGTAAAAGTATTAAGTTAATTATGAATTTTATTATAATAATACCACACTTATAGTGTGCAATATCCAATTGCTAAGTGTATCGTAAAAGGCCAAAATAGCTATATTTTTTGATTTTAAAATTTCTGTGGGTTTTTATAATTATTCATTGTTTGAGCTGAGAGTATCTTGATCACGTGATCTCGCTTTTTTATTCAAACTTCACTTGGGGCGTGGCTGGACTCTGCAGCATAGCAAGAAAATTGTTTACATTGAGAAACTTGAGGAACTCTGTTTCTTGGATCTTAAGAATCTAAAATGGCCAGTTCAGGCGGTCGTACGCGTCCTCTTAGTGCTGCCCGACCTCTCAGCGGCAGCAAGGAGCGGCCCACAGATATACGCAACAGGAGAGAGAAGGTCCTGCTCAAGTACCAGGAGTTTTCCGAGGCGGTCTCCTCCCGCCGTCTCAAACTGGAGCAGGCCAAACAGTTGCACCAGTTCTACAGTGACGCTGATAATCTTGAGTCATGGATCAATGATAAGATTCGCATAGCCTCTGACGAGTCTTACAAGGACAGAAGAAACCTACAGGTAAGGAATCGAAAATAAACACTACAACCACTGCATGCAGGCATAGAAGCTTTCAGTTGAAAATGAAAAAGTGCCTACTAGATCTATTATATTTATCTTTTCATATAGCAATTTGCTTTGTTTTATGCATCTATTCTATTATTTTTCTCCTTTCTTTTTTTAAAGGTGAAGATACAAAAGCACCAATCCTTTGAAGCTGAGATTGCTGCACACACTAACTCAATGATGGAAGTAAAGAATAAGGGAAGGAAAATGGCACAGGATCACTTTGCAGCAGAAGCCATTAAGGTATATAATTACTTGTTAATCTCTTTCATTTATCTTTCTTAATTTTGCAGAGGAGGCTAGAACAGATAGAATCAGCTTGGGATAAGCTTCACACTGCTTCGGTTGACAAGAGACAGAAGCTCCAGTATGCTCAAAAAGGAGAGCAATTCATTAGAGAAGCTGATGAAGTATTAACCTGGATGAATGACAGAATGGCTATTGCAAGCTCCAGTGAGCCAGGAAAAGACTTAGAGCACGTGGAGCTCCTACAAACAAAATTTGATGAGTTTTCTAAGGTCTGTCTATAATTTTTTAAAGCAAAAATTAAGAATTATAACTTTTTTATTATAATATTATCATGCTACTGTATATTTCCCATAGGATGTTCAAGCAAATGAGCCTCGTATTACATCAGTGAACCAGTTTGCTCAAAAACTGATTCATGAGTATCATCCTGAATCAGAACTAATAACATCTAAAAGAAAGGTTACTACACCTTTATAATTACAACTGTAAATTACTTTAATTCTCTTTATTTACAGTTAGTTAATGAGACATGGGGAATGTTAAAGCAGCTCTCACAGCAAAGGAGACAAGTCTTAGAAGGAGCTCATGAGATACAGAAATTTAACAGAGCTGTGGAAGAAACAGCAACGTGGATGAACGAGAAATCAAACGCTGTTTTATCAGACGATTATGGACGGGATCTTGCCAGTGTACAGGCTCTCCTGAGGAAACACACTGGACTAGAGAGAGAACTTGATGCACTAGAAATAAAGGTACTGATAACACTATACAGTAATTAATACTAGTATACCGTATAGTACTTTAATTTTATGCTAAAGTTTTGTAGTGAATGATTGTGCGATTTTTCATTGAAACTGCCCATTAATACTGACCAATCCTTGGTAGTGCATTAATTGCCAAATTAAAGGAAACTATCAAATGCTTAACTTTAAATAAGTGCTGTCTGACTATGATTATGATTATAATGATACTAATGCAGGTTTACTTGTAAATATTTCTTTTTTTGTCTCTTGTAGGTTCAAGAGACAAACAGTGAAGGAGAGAGACTGAGGCAGGAGCATACTGGCAGTGCTGATCAGATTGCTGCTAAACAAGCTGAGATTGGTATGCTGTGGGAAAACCTCAAGCACAAGGTATGAATATTTACCAATTGATCATGCTAACAGGTGATATGGTATAAGGGTATCAATTACGGGTATTTAATATTTTATATTGTTATTTTTAATTCATTGCTTTAGGCTGCCAAGAGGGGATCAAAGTTGCAAGAAGCTCAGAAATTTCAACGTTTCCTGGCAGATTACCGGTACTTATACTAGCACTTGTATCTTTAAAGCTTCTTCTCTTACTTTGTTATTATATTAGTGACCTGATCCTTTGGGTAGAGAATATGACTACTCTCATAAAAGCTGATGAATTAGCAAAAGACATGTCAGGAGCACATGCCTTGCTACAGAGACACAGAGAGAGAAAGGTAGGGAGAGAGAGAGAGAATAGCTAATAGGAGGATAAGTAGATTCCATTATATAATAGAAGCTATATTTAGCTACCTTTTCATATATACATTGTATGTTAGGGTGAGATTGATGCTCAAGAGGACAGCTTTAAGAAAACAATGCAGTTTGGGCAGACTCTTCTCTCAGACAGTCACTTTGCATCTGATGAAATCAAAGAAAAAGTAAGAGTATTATTCATTATATTATTATTCCTTGTTCTTACAGATTGAAGGATTGTCTCGGGGTAAGACTGAGCTTGCCTTACTGTGGGAGGAAAGGAAAGGAGAGTTTGATCAGTGCCAGGAACTCCAGACATTCCTGTGCAACGCGGAAGAAATGGAAAACTGGATCTCAAAACAAGAGGCAAGCACAATGAAAAATTAAAAATACTAATACAAATAATGTATTTTTTATATACTTGCATTGACATGCATATGTACATTGCATGCAGATTTCCTGATGTGGGTATATTTTATTGGAATATTTCTCTCACTTTGTGTAGAGTATGCTTTCCAGTGAGGATGAGGATAGAGATAGTTTGGAGAGTGTTGAGGGACTTCTCAAGAAGCACGAGAATTTTGAGAAATCCCTTGCAGCTCAGGAAGAAAAATTTAAAGTATTTTATGAGAAACACAACTAAAAAGTAATTCACTTTTCCTCCCTCTCTCTCTCTCTCTCCCCCTAAGGCAATAGATGATGCTGCTACAGGGATGATAGGTAACAATCATTATGCCTCGACTGATATTGACCATCACAGGAAGATGGTATGTTAAATCACTGAATTATTACTTCAGCACCAGTTTGATAAATAAAATATATTTATCTTTATTTCTAAAGGTACTTCAAATGCAGAAGGAGCTGATGGCCCTTGCCAGCAAGAGGAAGATCCGTCTTCAAGACTGCTATCAACTCCAGCAGTTTCTGTTTGACAGTGATGAGATTAGGACGTGGATATCTGAGAAAACAAAAACAGCCAGTGATGAGACTTACAAGGTAACTTACCCACTGACACATAGACTGCATTAGTGACTAATATTTAATGCACATTAGATCCATGGGTGGTTTACATTTAACCACAAAATACAGTGACACACCTCTATTGTATGCTAACTATATTCACTGATTAAGTTGTTGATTGTTTTGAACTATGAACCATGAACTGATATTGGTTGGCCCACTAAGCTGAGCTCTGTATATCATTTCAACTTTTCATACATACACTGTACATGTACATGTACATGTAAAATGCATATCATGTACCTATATCATCATTTTAATGCTGTTAAATGTGTATTATTCATTTGTATTCACGGGGCGTTTGTTCTTAGGATCCTTCAAATCTTGAGACTAAGATACAGCAGCATCAGGCCTTTGAGGCTGAACTCCAAGCAAACAGGCACCGACTGGACAGTGTCGTGAGCACCGGGAGAGAACTAATCACTCAATCACACTTTGCATCTAAAAGAATACAGTAAGGAAGGAAGAGGCAATAAATGAAGAGAAATGTGTTTTAGAATGAGAGTGAGTGAGAGAACCAAGAGAGAGGAAGTGGCATTAAGAAATGAATAAGGAGAGTAGGATGGGCATGGATGCAGTTGTCATGTGTTATTCAAATATGTATGAGAAAAGGATGTGTGTATATGTAATGTTTTATTGTATACAGGGATGTTTGCCAGGAGCTTGAAGATGCCTGGTCACAGTTAGAGGAGTTTTCAACCAGCAAAGGTGAGAGAGGGGGAGAGGAAGGGAGAGAGAGGGAGGGAGGGAGAAAGAGAGAGAGAGGGAGAAAGAGAGAGAGAGGGTGGAGAGAGAGGGAGGAAGAGAGGGAGAGAGAGAGAGGGTAATATACATATATGTATTTTGTTATTGTTCTTTCCTTGTTAAAGGTGTAAAGCTAGAGCAGGCTCACAGTGGCCAGCAGTTTGATAGAGCAGTCAAAGACGTTGAGCTCTGGCTGGATGAGGTTGAGACTCAACTAGGAATGGAAGAGATAGGAAAAGTAAAATGACACGTGTAAAATTATAATTTATGCGTGACATGAGTAACAGTCAAATGATAATAATGGGAAGATAATTGTAATACCGTATAGCGTCAAATTTTCGTGGGTGAAAATTTTCGTGATTCCATACATTTTTGCTTTCAAGTAAATTTTCGTTAAAAAATTTTCGTGATTTACTGAAATAAAATTTCGTGATGATTAAAACCACTCCTATCCATGTGGCCGCTAGTAGCTAGCCTTGCAGCTGGACTTGGAGAAGAAGCAACATGAGTGGTAGCATTATTTGATATTAATTCCCTTCGTGTATCCGTGGCTATCACATATACCAAGAAAGGTGGACTCCCTTTATAGGAGAGACTCTTAGCTGTGCCCGAGAAACAAATAAAAGGCGTGATGGGACACGCCCACATTTATATCAAAATTAAATTTCGTGAAAAATATTTTCGTGATTGTCCATTCAATCACGAAAATCACGAAAATTTTCAACCACGAAAATTTGACGCTATACGGTAATCAATTAAATGGACTATAGTAGCCCTTGGTACATGTATATTTAAAGAAATCAGGCATAAATTTCAAGTGGTCATAGCTCAAGAAAATTTAGTTAAAATGAGCTCAAACTGTCTACACAGTGTAAGGATATCAATGTGTATCAGAAAATGTAATAAAAATGGGGAGTGATTTTTTAGCCATTTTTTGGAAAAAGCATGGGCTATAGTACAGGGTACTTTTCAGATTTTGGCATATTCTTTAAAATGGTCATAACTTTAAAAATTGAAGTTGGAATCAGCTCAAACTTTCTACATAGCATAAGGACATCAATATGTATCAGATAATGTAATAAAAATTGGGGGTGATTTTTTAGCCATTTTTTAGAAAAAAAGCATGGGCTATAGTACAGGGTACTTTTCAGATTTTGGCATATTCTTTAAAATGGCCATAACTTGAAAAAGTTAAGTCAGAATTGGCTCAAACTTTCTTCGTAGCATAAGGACATCAATATCTATCAGAAAATGTAATAAAAATTTGGAGTCATTTTGGAGCCATTTTTTGGGAAAAAGCATGGGCTATAGTACAGGGTACTTTTCAGATTTTGGCATTAGCATCAGATGCTCATGCATGTACATGTACAGTACGGTATTATAATTGTAATTATTTTCTTCAGGACTTGGCTGGTGTTAAAAAGCTCCAGAAGAAGCTTGCCCTGATAGAGACTGACATATCAGTCCATAAGGACCAGATTGATGCTCTTCTCTCTCAAGCCTCACAATTCATTGATGAAGGACATTTTGATGCCGAGGGGATCAGAAAAAAGAAAGAAGCTCTTGTTGAACGATACGAGAGACTAAGTGTAAGAAAAATATAAATAATAAATTAATAATACATCTACATTGCACATGTAGCTACATAAATATTTTCTAATTTTGTAAAATGAATTTTACTACATTTTCATGATTGTTTGTTGGATAGGTTCCTGCTAATGATCAGAGAGAGAGGTTAGAGGCATCCTGTGAGCTCCAGCAGTTCCTCCGTGATGTTGACGATGAGATTGCTTGGATCAAAGAGAGAGAGTCTATAGCTACTCTACCCAATAGAGGTAACCAACAAAAAACTTCATTTTTATTTGATTATTATTATTTAAATTTCATTATTATTATTAGTAATAGAGGTAACCAACAAAAAATTTAAATTTCATTATTATTATTATTATTATTATTATTATTGTTGTTGTTGTTGTTGTTGTTGTTGTTGTTGTTGTTATTATTATTATACTATTGTGGTATTATAAATTTTTTAAAATTAATTTTTATCATTATTGTTATTATGTGATTGATTCAACAACAATATACAAATCTACATTGTATTCTATTAACTCTTTACTGTATAGGAATGAACTTGGCTGGTGTACAAAACCTACAAAAGAAACACAATGCTCTTATGGTAAAGAATGAATTTTGCTACATTTATATTAATTAAACTTGTATATCTTTATATCTTGTAAATATTTATTTACTAGACATTTATATAATAAAAATAATCTGTAATATTATCTTTTCTTTCTTGTATTAGGCTGAGCTATCAACTCATGATCCTCGTATAAAGGCAGTGAGGGAGAAAGGAGAGGGAATGATAGCAGGGTCCAAGCATCACGCTGAAGACATTGAGTCTAAACTAAGTGAACTAGCTCACCTATGGAACCAAATAAAAGTATGAAGGGAATAGGGTCAGATATAGAAGAGAAGAAAATAAGAAACTTGTCCAGACATTTTTTGCAATCAAATAAAAGACACTGTACACCAGTAAAAGGTGTATAGTGATCTCGAGAGGAACCACCCACTCTTTTAATTAAATTAAGCACTTAATTGAAAATAAGTCTTTAGATAACTACTAAAGTACAGTACTCATAATAGTATAGAGATATCTCTGCTATACACTATACATATATTCTCTTTTTTTCTCTCTCTCTTTTTATAGGAAACTGCAGAGTCACGGAAGCAGGTCCTTGAAGATTCCTATGAAGCTCAGAAGTATTTCTCTGATGCCCTGGCAGCTGAGCTATGGATGAAAGACATTGAGCCAGTGGTAGGGAGCTCTGACTATGGGAAAGATGAAGACATGGCTGAAGTAAGGAGAGAGTACATGTACATGTAGACTGTACGAGTACATGTACAATCATGTACATGTGCAAGAGTGGGAGAAAGAGGAAGTATTATACATAATGTACATTGTACTAATCTGTGGGCGACTCTTTTTTATCAAATACGATTTATTTGTCCTCTTACTGTTGTTTTCTTTCTTCTCAATCTCTCTCTCCTATTTCCTTTAGGCTTTATTAAAGAAGCATGAGACGGTCTTTGCCGATGTCAAAGGGTTTGGCAGCACCATTGAAGCATTGTCAGCACAGAGTGCCAAGTGTCAAGTAAGTCACATGAGAGTCACATGACCTAATTTAATAGTGAATAATAATAATAATAATAATAATAATAATAATAATAATAATAATAACAATGACTGTTTCATCAGTATAAAGTACAAAAATATTACTAAAAACATTATTAATGACAATTATACTAGATTTACATGTACATGTACATGTATATCTCAACCAGTTTAAATAGTAATAATAATAACAATAACAACAATACCAGTATCAATACATGATTCATATTCTACAGGATACAGTGAGTGATGTGAGTCTAGGGCCAGGAGCAGGTGAGTCAGAGAAGACTTACGTTAAAGCAGTCTACAGCTATGGAGCCCACAGTGCCAGGGAAGTGAGCGTCAAGAAAGGAGAAATACTAGCACTGATAAACTCATCAAACAAAGTAAGTTGGAGATATGTACCTTACGGTGATACCTTCATACATGAATCATGTACTTACTATTTTGTAATGCTGTATACAAAATGCATAAATTTAACATTTAACGGTTTCCACTAAAAGCTAAAAATTTAAAGTTTGTTCATGTACATACATGTACATGAACAAAAGCATATTTTCATGAAGCATGTTTTAAAATTGGTATTATTACGTGAATATGTGTGCTATAGGAATGGTGGAAGGTAGAGACTTCAGGAGGGAAGCAAGGTTTCCTTCCTGCTAATTATGTGAAGAAAGTCTCTCCTTCTGTTGCTGTGGGGCTAGCCGGTAATGCTTCTCTACAAAGGAGGGTCTCCTTTAATGTGGCCATGGAAACTGGTCCACAAGAGAGTGTGGTTGACAGACAAGCTAGAGTTAAGAGAAAGTAAGGAAAGAAGTAATGTAGTACATTGCTTCACTCTCTCTCTCTTTCTCTCCCTCTCTTTCTCCCTCCCTCTCTTTCCCCCTCTCTCCCTCTCACTCTCTCTCTCTTTCTCTCTTCTTCCTGTCCTCTCCCTCCCCCCTCTCTCTCTCCCCCCCCTCTCTCTTTCTCTCTCTCCCTCACCCTCTTTCTCTCCTCTCTCTCTCTTCAGATATGCTAACTTAGAGAGGCTAGCTGATGACAGGAGGCAAAGGCTTGAAGAGTCAAAGAAGAGGTTTGTTTTAAGCCGTGAACTGAATGAACTGAAACACTGGATAACTGACAAAGTAAACACAACAATACTTTAATCTGAACTTATAATCACTATACACCCATCCTTCATCTTTATCTGATTTATCTTTTATTCTTCTAATTAATGCCCTCCCAGGCCGCATTTGTTAGTTCTGAAGAGGCTGGGAAGGATCTTGAACATGTCGAGGCTCTAAAGAAGAAGTTTGAGAGCTTTCAAGCCGAACTGACCTCTAACGAGGCCAAACTCACAAGCATAACAACAATGGCTGAAGGAATGGTACAAGAAGGACACACTGACGCTGAAGAAATACAAGGAGAGCTAGAGGTAATGGTAATTTAATAAATAATTATTAATTGAGTATTTTTGTTATATTTATTGACCCAATTTTTATTTATTGTTTACTCTACTTACACATAAGCCTACATGCCTTAACCCATTTTTACATTATACATGTATATACATGTACATGTACATCTATAATTATAATAATAATATTATTATTTGCATAACACATTGTGCTACCAGTACCAGTATTATTTTTGACTGCTCCTATTATTGTTGTAGTATACGTAATATGATATTTACCCACTCATTGCATCATAGGATTTAAATTCTCTCTGGGAGACGTTAGTCCAATCCACAGCCTCCAGGAAGCACCAGCTTGAGGAGGCCTATAATGTACAGAAGTTCATACGAGCCGCCGACGAGACCAAACTCTGGATGAATGAGAAGTCCACGTCAGCT